TCAAAATAAATATTTGATAAATGTTTGGCAAACCTTTTGTAACTGACTCAATAAAACTATTTTGAACAGTTAAAAGATTTTTCAACAGACTCCAAAAATAAATATAATTTTTATTTTAACTCTCATAAAAATAATTTTGGAGAGATTTTTGTCATCCTTACAATTATTCCTATGACTCAAATAAATAAAAAGTCTTCGGAAGTCTTCTACTCCTCCGAGTCCTCCGTTAGGCGCTCCGAACGCGTCTCGGACTCTAATAAAATCCTGTGCACCTTCTTGAATACTTCAAGGAATGGCACTTCAAGTCTTCGTGTTTGTCGTTGTAGCACTTTGATCTTGACTTGAATAAATTATGTTTGTCAATTATCAAAACCTGTGAGTCAACACTTAATAACACAAAAAGGGTTGAACTCATGCATTCCAACATAAACATACAATGTAAATATTATATATCCGTCATTAAAGTAGTTAAATCACAAAATAAAAGAAATAATTTACCCATATAATGCCGTGGTTTGGAAAAGCTCAACAACATGATCACCAGTTCTCGAGCATTTTGGGTCAAACAACCCAAAAAACGATCCACATACTCTCCCCATAGAGTGCATCCCAATCGATTTGCCCTATAATATCATTTCATTGCTCAAGTCTGAATAAATTATTTTTCAATAAAAGACATTATTCTCTTATTTATATTCATACTCATGATCCTCAAGTGTGACTTCCATGAATTTTTGTTCTCCGGATCTAGTAATGTTTGTTTGAACCTTAGTTCGGGCAACAATCTTTCCAATCACGTCTGCATAAATATAGCTCTTAATATTAGACATTTGTCTTTCCAATCACATCTGCATAAATATAGCTCTTAATATTAGACATTTGTATGATTGATCTTAAAACTGTTTTTGACATAAAGATGTTGCTGCACAGATTTAAAAAAACGGTGCTCGAGGGCTTATTATAAATTTTCATATGTATGAAACTATTTTAAAAACTATGAACAAATTTTCGAAGGGCACAATTTTTTTAAAAAAAAACGTGTGGTGGCACATTCATTTATTGTTTCATTTGTATGAATTTTAAAAAGATAAATATGCTTAACCTTTGAAAAAGAAATGAAGAAATTTTAAAATTTTTCTTAAGGAAATAATACCAATCAAAACTTGATCATTCAAACATGGTTGGCTTTGAAGAACTGGAAATGGTTTTATATCAAACATGATCCGTGGAAAATCACTCCGATTCAAAGTTTTCACTTCAGTATCTCTGAAAAAACCCAAGAGCTTATCATTTGCGGTTGTTTTCAAACTTTGATAGTTGTCGTGAACATGCACATTTCGAATGGCATAAACACCATCCTCGGTGATTTGGTTTTCAAACTTCTTTTTTTCCGGGCGGTTGAGATGTGCATGAATCCTCGTTCCCTGTAGAAAAGTAGATATTATGAGTATTTGAGTGACACAATTGCAATTTGAGTGATACAATGTAAGTTATGCAATTGAAAAAAAATGTAATAAGTTCGTGAATAGAATACATGCTCATCGTGAAAGATGATCTCCATAGAATCTCCGCCTCTCGCCCACCTTGGAACAAAGTAGACACGAATAGCCCTTAACTTGAGAATCCAAGTTGTACGGTTGTTGTCAAGCTCGGAAATCGGAGTAAACATTGTCCTAGAATTTCTTTGAGAATTTTCGGCCATCTCAAGGAAGCAAAAGAACTCAAATATGGTGGAAGAAGGAATTGGCGTGTTTATACGGTGGAATTCAAAAGTATTCAGGCATAGTGAATATATAATGGCTTTGTGAATCAAGTAATTGAAAGCACATTAAATGCTTAGATTGTGCAAATCTATTTAAGTTCTTGATTTGATGTAAAGTGTGGTTTAAACTTGATGTATCACGTGGCTCAATAAAGCATGATTTGTTTACTTTATGGAGCCTCACACCTAGCATAGAGTAGAACCTAAAAATAGCTGTCAAACGTGGACTCATTTTCGGCCCAATATAACGCAGCCCAGCCGGCCCACACTGTAGCAGTAAAAAGAGCGGGAACACTCTTCACAATACCCTCTTAGCATTGTATATAGTAAGATGTCAATAAAAATGGTCTTTTAAAAGTATTTTACAAGATTGTCTTTTCTGCAAATAGTTTTTGAAGTAGTACTCCGTACTATTAATGAAATACTTTTCAAAAAATAAAAATTACTCCATTTGTCACATAATTATCTTTCTTTTTTTATTTGCGTTGTCAAAATTTTCTTCTTCTTTTCCTTAAAGAAAATAAATATGTGGTCCATATCAAATCTCTTTTCTCTACACAAATTATAACCACCAATATTTTACTTTATTAAAAACTGTGTCAAGCTAAATTTGGAAGATAATTCTAAACAGAGAGTACTTCTGTACTTCATCCGTTTCAACTTAAATTGCCATTTATGATATTTGATTGAAACTATTTCAGATTATTTTATATGAAAAATGATATAGAAAAAAGTTATATATTTAAAAATTAGATCAAAAGATCTATTTTCTCCGTCCAAAAAAAAATTTCCTACTTTGATTAATGTGCAAAACCCCATGGATTTTAAAATGATTTTATTTGCAAATTGGTAAGGAAATAACACGTAAAAATATTAGAAGTAAATACTCTTTGTTAAGTTTGGAGCAAATATGCCTTTCAACCAAACACGCCTTAATCCTTCCCCAATTATCCGACCTCGTAACATACTCTCTCAGCCAAGAAGAGTACCCTCCCAGCCGGTATTCCCGGTATCCCTGGACGTCGTACGCGCCGAAGGGGCGCGTGACGAAGAACCCGAAGACACCAAGACTGCAAAACAGATGACGAGGGCGATGAGTACGGCTAATGAGACGAGGTAGAAGCGGAGAAGTCCGGCGACCGCCCTCCACGCGCCCACAAGCCCGGCGAGGGAGACCGCCATCCCGGCGAAGACAATTGGCCACTGGAGCGCGTGGAAGCACCGCGTGTTCAACGACGCAATAAGTCCGGCGGCGGTGAGGATGAAGGAGCTCAGGAACGCCAAGAGATTGAAGGCGGCTATGGTTATGGTGCTTAACGGCGGCATGGCTGGTTTGAGGAGCTGCTTGCGGTGTTCCGTCCGCCACTTGCGGTGGTCCTTTTTTTTTCTTTTCTTTTATACTCCGTGGTAATGTGACATTGTCCACCATTCCTACTGGGTCATTCGGTGGAAAGGTTTATTTGGGTGAGCCTAAGAGCACCTAATTGGCAGCATTCTGCCCGATTCCGAATACTTCGAATCGGTCCAGTTACCGCTTTTGATATATTTATTTTTTTTTACACTTTTTACTCTTTTTATAGATAGAATTATTTTTCATAGCCTCCTTATGCAAAAATTAGCCAAAATTTTTAATTTTTTTCTTAAATTGCACATATAGTCTTTTATTTGGCTAACTTTAATAAGTTTTGTAAATAAATAAATTTGCATTCTAATGTGTTGAAAATAAAATCATTGATTTAGTGAATAAATATTAACTTGTAAAATACGTGAAAGTCAAACATTTGTAACTTGTCATTTATTTGAAAGTCTAAAATGACACTGTTCCACTACTTCAAATTGAGTATGAGCAGTATACTATTCTGAAAATTTGATATTTCAATGATTGCATTGTAAGTTTTGAAAAAAAATCAAAAATTCAAAGAACGCACTTTGGCGAGATCGAGTTTTGGAGTGAATTGAAAAGTCAACAAGCATCTGGTTACATGTCAGATGATGAGACTTATTTTAGGCGAGCGCCAAAAAGCATGCATGCGGTTCCATGTCGTGTGATGAGGCTTTTAAGTGAATAAAAATCCAAAAAGCTCGTGGTTCTATGTCATAGGATGAGGATCAACATTTTCTCGTGTCAACATGACAAAGTGAAGTTCTACAAAAAAATCCAAACGTACTCTTTGATAAGAATAAATGATGTTTTCAGAAAAGTTATTTTCAATTTTTTTTCAATGTACATATTTTTGACCTTAAATTATTTTGCAGTTATTATGAAACACTTACAATTCTTTTATTTTAGACATTAGTATCTAAGTTTGTAAATGGACAACTTTTACATTTAGCCAATAACATTAATTTATGTGCATCTTTTAGAAAAACAAATAAAAATACTTTGCTAACTTTTTTTTTGTAAAAAGGGTGCTATTTCTAGTAGTTCTATTTTTGTAAAGATTAAATAGCCTAAAAGAGTTTTGTGCAACAAATTGTTTAAAAGTGTGGTCAATAGTTTTTCCAAAATCTTTTTGTAAATAAGTGTTTGATGCAGAATTTCATTTGTTGTACTCTGTTGCTTGAGGGCAAACAAAGCTTAAGTGTGGGAAATTTGATAAGTCCATTAATGTATTATTTAATGTATTATTGTTCAGTTTTGGATTAAACAAGACAATTTCACAATTATTTTTATAAGTTTTTGTTTATAATTGAAAAATTGCACAAAAGTTATGTCTTGTTGTAAAAAAAATTAAAGTTGAGTCAAAAGTTGAACAAAAGAGGGCGAAAGTTGGAAAATGCATAGCATCAATAGAGGTGAGGTCAAACTTGAAGAAAATTGTTTCAAGATAAAGACCACAAGTGAAGAAAGAGATTGAATTAGGTCTTACAGTAAAAAGAATTGAAGAAAATGACGAAAAACGAAGCTTTGGGCCGAAAAGTAGCTCAGGCCTTGGACAGGCCCCCGCATGGACCTCAGGCTCCCGTCTGTCGGATGCCTGGACCAAAACATATCACAAATTCAATCACGGAAAATCAAGAATCTGGCTCTGGCCCACGCATTGACCTACGTACCTGCTGACGAATGGGCTGATAAGCCCAGGCCTCGGACAGGCCCCTGCCTGTCATTAGTCACCATTTGTATAGTGTTGACTCTAAGTTCATCTATTATAAATAGAAGTTTAGGATCCTTGTAATGTACACCCAAATATACAAGCACGCAGTCAAGATTAATAGAAGTGAAAATAATCTCTCTAGCAAACTCTGAGTGTTTTTCTTCTCATTTCTTAACAAAACACAAGCAATCAGAAATGATGGAGTTATCAATAGATAATAACAATAGTACACTTATAGTGCAAATTGATCAACTGCAGGCTGCTATTTGTTCAGAAACAACTTTCTGGCACCCTCATTACATATACTTACAAAGATGAAATGTTACTAACCCGGAAGACTAAGAAGTTTTTAGTTGTTTGTTACCCAGAAGACTAAGAAGTTTTTAGTCGATTGTTCCAACCTTTCCACTCCAGGATGTTTTGGTTTCTTCTTTCCCGAAGAACTCTTGTGGCGAATAGAACTTTCTTGTTCCATGCAGCCACTGAAGACGGGCAGCAACTCATAGAATTGTTTCTTGTTGAAAAAGAACAAGACAGCTCATTCGAAACAATGATCCGCCGTCTCACCCCAATCCAATGTCAACTCCGGATGTGGCCCCACATTAATGCTTGATTTTGTACTGCAAAACAATTGAAACATTGAACCCCTCTCTGTAAGTTCGGCTTATCAGCCTAATCAGCCAGATTTTTTGTCAAGAATAACTTACTACATTCAACATACCTGTTTTTTGCCTCTCTCCCCACATGAAAAGCGAGTCTCAGTCAGAAGAAGGTTAATTGGGATTGGATCTACCTGAACTTTGAAAAGCCTTCTAAATTTGTGGCAAATCGGCCATTGTCTTGGTTGAACTGCAGCTGGATAGTGGAACCCCCTGAGAGCAAGACATTCACTCTACTTAGTGAAGTGGGTAAACTTCCATTTTTCCTTCTTGTATGAAAAATGGGGATCCGAAGTGAAGGAAACCTGGAAAATAGTTTGTGTGAGAAACACTTCCATCTACTTCGAGCCATAAAACTTTTGCCCAATAAATGAAGCATCAAACAAAACATAATAGCATTAAGTTTCTAGGAGTACCAAAATGGCAACAAACAGTGTATGTGCTAAGAATATCTATCCATAAGTCAGGCATAGCAAAAGCTCTAAAAACTTGCTTCATTGTGCACTTGTACCTATGAGTTTATGACTATGAGAGCCTCAGGGAAAGGCAAAATCTAAGAAATGTCAAACAAACCGTGTCCATTTGCTTTGTAATGGATGTTCTCGAAGTCAGAACACAGATTGATTAAGAGGTCTTCAACAAATGATATATCGTGAGTCATAATGAGAAAAAGTACAGGAAGTATGAACTAGATCAAATGTTTACCTGCAGTGGAGGAATTATCCGAAAACTGGAACTCCACAATTGCAATCAATTTATCAATTAGCATCATCCAAACTGGAAGTCCATTAACTATGTCTGAAATCCTTGCTCACAAATGCTATCATTGGAGACAACCTTCAGTGTTGTGCCACTGGTAATCCAGGCAGTAAGTTCAGGCTGGTGTTCAAAAGGCTTAAGAGAATGCAAAGTTCCATCTTCCAATTGTACACCATATGCAAAGGGAAGCCTAAGTGACAGGAAACTGTCTGGGGCCAAAACCACTGGACAGCTAAGGCTAAACTGCAATTTTGTTTCACGGTCTGGAATAGATGGCGGGAGGCATGATACCTGGTAAGTTGATAAAATGAATTTTACAACTCCCACAAAAACATGAATAAAACTAATGTGAATTACACTCAACAGATAGATAATGTAAAATATTAGGGGCAGCTAAAAGCCTAAATTTAAAATCAAGGTGACACTGTGGCAGCCATTGAATTGCTTTAAAAATGATACGATGTGTGGTTGGAGACTATAAGAATTCAGAGATCCTAACACATTTATAAACAATTGTGCCATGTTAGGTTGAAAACACTGTGAGAGAGAAAGAGAGAAATAGAGGGGAGGGGGATCAACTTGCCAACAACACTAATTTTAGAATAAATTCTATAATTGGTCCTTTAAAATGGGGGATTTTTTATATTTAGTCCTTTATTACCAAATATTACATTCGCGGTCCTTCGTTTATGGATACCTTTCTACAGATTGTCCTTTTTTGACCTTCCGTCATACTGGTGTTAAATTGAGGGTTAAAAGTGTAATTTCACATCGATCCTAGGTCTGAGGTCTGACTATGTATTCTGGTGTCGGTTTGATAGACAACACAACAACATTGACTATGACTGCGGACTTGGATTCCGACGAGCAATGACAGACTATGGTTGCAGTGGGCGGCGACTTCAACGGACAAGCAACACATCAGCAGCCATCTCTGGCATTGGCTATGGCAAAAAGAATGTAGGGCCCATGTAAATTCTACTTTTTACCCTCAATTTAACACCAACATGACAGAAGGTAAAGAGGAGGACTATCTGTGGAAGGATTCCTATAGACAAAGGACCACAAACATAATATTTGGTAATAGAAGACTAAATATAGAAAAATCCCTGTTTTAAAGGGGATCAATTATAGAATTTACTCTTAATTTTATTTACCCAATGACACAAAAGAACAACAATCACTGAAATGCAGCCACCCCAAAGCAAATGTGGCTTCCATCATTTTGAATTTTGCAATGTAGTTTCTATCTCTGTCAAGGATTTCAATAATAACTGGCAATTAAGTTGGACCGAAAGAGTAAATTTTCTTTCTTTGAATAGAGGATCATTATTTGAAGATATTTCTCTCCTAAATCATTAGTAATTAAAACATTTAATATATTCCTGATAATTTCATTCATTATACAACTACTTAGTCCCATTCTTTTCCACATTTGAAATAATTACGAAGTCTGCCTTATTATTGATCAGCTAGATACCCTAATAAAAGAGGATGCCCAGTGCAATTAGTGGGTTGATACAGATCAGATATATAAACTAATGATTTAGAAAATGGAAAAAATGGCTGGAACCACTAATTCTTGCTGTTTTTCTTCATTCTATAGATGTTTCAATGATATTGAACAGCGTCTACTCTGTAAGAGATGGATGAGAAAATTTTCAACTGCTAGCAACTTCTCTCTTTAATAGGGCCGTAGGGGAAAGTCTATCCATTGCCTATTCAAATAGACAATGACTAAGCACCCCTATTTTTTTGTAAACTGCTGCCTCATGCTTATGAATTTTTAACCTCAGATGATTTAGAATTTAAATCATAGAATTACTTTAATGCGTTGAAAAGGTATACATTTTCCTTCTTTAGGGGGGGGGGNTTCACACAAACAAAAGTTACCTCAAATTGTATAACAGGGCACACCGCTAGGACAACAGGGAATGGAGGTGTAACCTACAAATAAAAGCACACACTTAACGAGCTACCTGGCCAATAATGACTAGTTATCATCGACAAAAAAATCCAAAAAATAAAAATAAAGGAAATTCAGTTTAAAAGTGAATTCACAACAAACAAATAAGAAAAAAACATAAAATAAATTGCTTGAGTGCATGAGACTCAAACTCTTGATCATGAAAAGCATGTAGAAAAGGGCCACATGCAGATGTATCACAATACTCATAATTTAATTATAAAAATTCATAACCCCATGGTGAGCACAAGTGATATGGACTCTGACATATCCCAATATCAGAACCCTTTTGTGTGTGTTTGGTGAGGCCTAAAATTGGTTTGAATTTGATATCTTGAGATACCATATTCCTCCCAAATGGGGGTGTTTTGATATCTCCAGAATTCGGGAGATATCAATCGGGGGGTTTGATATCTCCTTCAGCCGCCGCTCACCCCGTTGTTGGCCACCACCATCGCTGGTCACCCGCTGCCAACACTAATAATTATGATTTTAAATCTCTCTAAACACTTTCATTTTCAGAATTCAGAACCGATATCATTATATCAATTCTTTTGAATTTCAGAACCCATATCATATCAACCCTCCAAAACTCACGAATCCCTAAATGAACTTTCAAAACAGCCTAAAAACCAAAGAGGTAACATTATAAGGTGTAATACAGATATGAACATACAAAAGGCACTTCAGAAGTAATCGTTTTGTAAGATCAATCATATTCCACATAATTTGTTCCTTGTTACCTGTATTCTTAAATCTTTTTATAAATGACATAGATAGATGAATCTTAATATATCACTTCCCCAAATACATTCCTCGTCAAGAATATAAAACAACCTAGTAGAATCCCACTAAAGTAGGGTCTAGGGAGGGTGTGTGCATGCAGACCTTACCCCTACTTCAAAGTAGAGATGTAATTTCCTCGTCAAGAATATATTATCATTAAATGGGTTAAAAATTAAAAGTTTCACTCTAAAACATTAAACATCAAGTGCATATTACAAATTTTAATGCATAGTTTAAAAGGAAAAAATCACATAAAATTGAGATCATTTGTGACAGCTCACAAGTCTTATTATATCACTCTCTCTGTCTCTAAATTATTATCTTCTCAATTCCCTTTCTCATCTCTCTTGAAATTATTACACCCACTTCTATTTAAGGAAAGCGATATTTGGTTCATACTATTTCTCTCTTATAAATACATCTCAACCACACAGTTTTCATTTTATTAATTCTAGTGTCCGGTCAAAGTGAGCAAAATTTCAGAATGAAGGGAGTAGATTAGAACAATTGACACAAACGAAAAGATAAATTAAAATGCTAAAATGCCTACCACAAAAATCCTCTGAAGCTGTGAAACACTGCCTGCAAATTTAGCCTCTGTCTGATCCTTCTTGCTTTTGGAGTCCTTACAGTATGGACAGTTCATGTATAGTGGCAAATTTCTATTCAACAAGGATAAAGTACACCCAGCAGCAGCAAGCCTGTGAGGTTGACGTCCAGGTTCAATATCATTTCCAGAAGCAGCACCTATTACCACACTCGTTCGTTCTTTAAGGGGATTGGAAGACTGCAGTTGTCCGTTAACATATGCATTGCAATTATATGTTCTCTCTTTTGACTTCTCGAAGTTTCTAACTCTACTAGATGCAGCAGAAACTAATCCATTTGATTGACGGTGGCCTTTACCATGACCTTCATTCTTACCCGCTTTGGGAGGTTCTGCCAATTTATGATCTTCGCGCTCCAAAGGAGCATCAAATTCTTCAGTAACCAAATAAGGAGAGCCAAGTGCATTAAGATGACCTGAGGATAATATAAACCGGTGCCCATGAGGGCACTCGTGCTCAAATCCAATGTAGATGCTTGCATGTTTCAAAGGGGTGATTGTTTTAGTCTTTGCAGCACTGTTTATGCGCATTGGAAATGTATCACTATCTGAAAATGGAATGACTTTACTGGAGCCATTAAGAGTAACATTGTAATTCACAGCTTTATCCACAGCAGGAACAAGTATTTTTTCAGATTCTTGAGCAGCATTGATTTCATTAGCATTTTCTCTATCTCCATCTTTAGCACTTTGTGGTTTCATACCCTTCTCAATTGACTGCTGAGGTTGCACTTTTGATTGGAGAGGAGGAAATGCTGAATCTGGACTCCCTGATCCAGCAACAACCTCAGAAAAAGGTTTCCTCATAGCAAAATTGGATAGTTTTTTACCAAAGTTATTAGTCTTATCTTCACCTCTAAGATCACATAGGGAGGGTTTTCTATGTATCTTCACTTCACTTTGCATTTCTTTATCCTGGAACCTAGTATTAACAACCTGGTCCACCTTTGTTCCTGCATTATAATCATTCTTGGAATTACAATGAAATGGTTTGGAAGAGGCTTGCTGAATGCTGCTTTTAGGTGAAACTTTTAACTGCTTTGGTTTCTCAAGCGGGATAGACCACTCGGAAAGAAATTTATTCGTGGCACTAAAACCACTCTGGATTAGACCTTTGGACGGTTGATAATACCTAGCATTCCCAACTCGAACTAAATTCCATGAAGAAGGCTGAACTGGCCCAATAACGCCTCCACAAGGAGGCTGTAGCATGGGAAGTAGCTTATCACAATCCATAGAACAGTTGAAAGTAACATTAGCTGTTTCAAAATCAAAAGGATCTGATCGTAGCCGTCTTGAACGTCCACAAGCACATGCATGAAGGAAAACATATCCACTGGAATGCAGAGTGCCAAATTCATCATTGTGTCTCTGATGCATGCATGGTTTTCCAGTAAGGCTGAGTGCATCACATAGTTGTCGTCCAGAACTCCAGATGGATGTGCATTCATCTTCTAACTTTTTCACATACAACTGTAAAGCAGACCCCTTGACCATTGAGCGAAAAGTACACAGAGCTCTTTCCAAATGGGAAATATGTTGAGAAGTAGAATAGCGTGGAGGCAGATCATTCAAGTATACGTCCTTAGCTACAGGAAGGGCCCTTTGGCACCATAAAGTGGAAAATCTAGTGTTCAATTCTCTACAACTTGATAAATAATACAATGCAGTTTCAAGAGGATCACTAACTTTTGATGCACTGCCTTCAATGGGTGGTGAAACAGAATTCTGCCGACGGGATTTCTCCTTACTGCTATCTGTTTTATCTATACATCCAGGCTGAGCAGAGAGGATAGCATGTAAAATAAGTTGACTGGAAGAGGACCAGATATCAAGACTTGGAAGTTCTGGAGTAGTGAGAGTTCTCCCGGTTGAAGCGGAGGCAGCGGCAGCGGCAGCAGCAACCATGCCTATGCCAGTAGCCGAACTACTATTGGTATTGGAAACCATGCTCCCTCTTCCTCTTAATATATCCAACTGCCTGAAGATGAACTCCTTGACAGAAAGAACGTCGTCTCTTGTCGCATTATTGCTGTGGCATTCAATCAAAAGATCATCTGAAGATGCCTTCCCACATAGAATATCTTCCACGATGCTGGAAGCATATTCAAGCACTTCACCTTTCTGAATTGAAGATATATCTACAAGCACAACAGCCTTTGAAGCATCTAGGGAAAACAAAGCGGCTGAGTTTGCCAAAGCACCATTTCTACCTCTATGACTGCTTTCAGATCCCAAAAGTATCCGACTTTTTTTAATTGAAAAGCGGATCTGTGCTTCAAGGGATGATTGCAATTTTTTTCTAAATCCACCTTCAGATTCATTAACAGGGCGTGCAAGCACAACAACCGAGCCAGGTCCTTTCGCAGGCAAGTTTTGCCTCAGTGAACCATTCAAACGTGATGATTGATTAAGAAAGGAAACTTCCACTGGCTTCTCAACACCAGATCCAGGAATATTATCTGAGAAATCATCGAGGTAAACAAAAAGTGTAACTGGAGTACATTGCCCTGGTAAGAAAGAAGCATAAGAACCTGACCCTGGCATTAATGTTATTGCCGAAGTATTGCGACTGAAAACACCTCGGCTATTAACGTGACAATGATTGTCAGACAGTGTTTCTGATCTAGAAGTCCGTGATGGAGATGAAAAATGTGAGCCAGATGATGAAGGTGTCACAGTTTGTGATTTGACAAATGGATTCATTGCATTCTTGGCAGCTTGCAGAATGCGAAATTTCTTAAGTATTTGGGTGTCAAAATGTGATCCTTCTTGAATAAAAATTACTAAATGGCAAACCTGCACAACTAATACTGACTGGATCACTTAACACTCTCAATTAAAAAATGAGAAGCAATAAATAAAGTAACATCCAAACCAGAGTCATTGAAAAACAGATCTCACGTCTGAAGCCATAAACTTTATCCGCCTAAAACAAGATCATTAAGCTAATAAAATCCTCACCTTTGAGATGAGAATATGTTCACAATAGGACAGAGACACTTTCATATCAATAATTTTTTATGAGTATACTTTAAATTTTAATTCAAGCTCCTGATCTACTCATTGCAGGACATTGTTTTGCAATCACAAAGGACTGATCACAGTTTAGTAAAAGTGGGATATACTGAGCCTGTACTGTTTGGTTTGGCTTGGTGCAAAGAAACTGTACCATTTACACAAAATAAATAATAATGTAAAAATAAAGCAAGGATCATTGCCACTCGTACTGCCACATAAAAAGAACTGATAATTCCGGTTACATGCTTTTCATAGTCCACAACAACAAAAAATCAAAAAATTGTCATTAAAAAGAACTGATAATTCCAGTTACATTCTTCCTAATTTTATTCACATACAACAAACCCAGTGAAATTCAACTAAACATAGGGCCCGTGAAGGGTGTGTGCGCACAGACCTTACCCCTACTCAAAGGTAGAGAGGTTGTTTCACAGAGACCCCAGCTCAAGCACACACAACATGAACCAACAAACTAAGGGAAACAAAGCCACAGGAAAAGGGAAGTGTAGCAGTATCACATTTCGGAAACTGAGATTGCAGAATGAAGAATTCACATTGAGGTTAGATTTATCGCATAAAAACACACTTCTTCAGGCATAAGATATCTTAAATCTCCCATGGTTCCCACTCCTCAGCTGCTTAGCTCATAGGACTACATTTTCCTTCTTAATCCATTAAGTTAAAGCTAAGCTTAGAGGTTGTAACTAATACTTCAATCCTTTTTATTACATTACAAAACGAATGTATGGCAATAGAAAAAACAAAAAAAAATGTGATAGAGAGAGAGACTGACAGAGAAAATGAAGAGCATAGCCTGAAGATCTCCAAACTCATAGTCCTCCAATATTGAATCAAAACCCATTCGAGATCCCATGTGCTCCTCCATCACAGGAAACCTGATCGACGAGAACTGCAAGTACAGAATCCCCTTTTCATTATCGTGGTAATAGCTGATATCCCTATACCTAAACCAGCTCTTGACTTCTTCCCCGATTCCCAAATTCTCGATGCGGAATGGCCTGTCCAAACCCCCCGACCCGAAGACATTGGAGTCGATAATTCTATTGATTAAGCCCGTGACATCGGCCTGACGTTTCCCAATGAATCCGACAACCGCAACTCCGTTTAGGGTAGGCGGAAGCGAGGCGGGGGCAGGGGGTGGGATTGGTGGTCGAATGAGGACTCGCATTGGTTGGGAATTGGGGGGCTTTTGTGAGTCCATTAGAAGAAGGGACTCTGGGAGTAAGACAGCAGCTGCGGTTTTACATGGACAGTGAGCGGCTGATGGAGGCGGAGGACGGTGGTTGCTGCGGTGGCCGGCCGGTGGAGCGCGACGGAGCTAAATTTGTTAGGAATCTTTGCTGCTTTGACTCGAGGGTGACGGGACGGGACAGAGAGATGGAATTGGGTCAAAGCGTTTAGAAATTAGTTGCGATGGCAGCGGTGGGCCGGCCCAGTACTGTGTCGGGCTGAAAACTCTAAAATGGTACGGAGTATATGTTTAAGGACTAATAGCTTTTCGTCCAATACAGGTCCAAATATTTCGAATCCGTGTCCAATTTGCATTTTAGACTTTTAAATACGGAGTAAAACATGTTTGTTAGGAGAACAAGAATTTTACTCCCTCCGTTCAGAAATATTATTTCCATTTGACTTTTCTTGGTCAAAGTTTGTAAACTTTGACTATGATATGTGGAAAAAGTACATTGTATTACGATATAACTTTAATATGAATATATTCATTTTGAAATATAGCTTTCAAATATCAATTTTTTATAAAATATATCTATGTATAAATAAAGATATTAGTGGTCAAAGTGCAATCTTGGAGACCGTAAAAAGTCAAATGGCAAGAACATTTTTGGACGGAGGAAGTATTACCGAACCAACAAATTAACGGAGTGTCGAACCAGCAAATTAACAGAGTGTTCGCCTAGAAAACACGGTGAGAATAAACACGATAAAGTGTAAGCAACCTAATTCAAAGGTCTACGAATATAAGAATTGATGCATAATCAGGGGTAAATTTCAAGAATAGTACGGATTACTTGAACTTTCACGGAAATTTCAATTTAGTACATAAACTTTAAAACCTCTCACAAAAGTACCTAAACTTTTACCATCTTTTCACTTAAAATCCATTTGCCCAATACCAGGTGACCAGCAAGTCACTTTGGGCCAAATTGTAAAAACTGAATTTTTATTTTTTCACATTAATCCATATTTCTTCTTTTTCTTCTCAAGCACTCCCATAATTTATATTATTTTGTTTTTCAATTCCCTCCCCTTTCTTTCTCTCCTTTCTTTTACCACACTTTTCTTTTATTTTTTTGTCTTTTTCTTTCAATTCTTTTTCTAATTTGCTATTTTTTTCGTATTTTCTTTTGCTTCTTTTTTCTTTTGATCCTTTTTTAATTCTTTATTTTTTTTATTCATTTTTACTTTTTATCATTTTTTCCTTTATATTTTAATTTTATTTATTATGTCCTCTTTGTTTTCATTTAAAAATGTTTCCACTGTTATAATTTTCTCTGTTTGTTTTCATTTGCTATTTTTTCTTTAGTTTCTTTTTGAAATATTTATTTATTATTTATTCCGTTTTTCCTTTTCTCATTTCTTACGTTTTTTCTTTGTTTTTTTTGTTTTTTGTTTTTCTTTCTTTTTTCTTTATTTATCTATTTCGTTATTTTGTCCTTTATCTTTTATATTTTCTGTTAATAACTGTGTTATTTTATATTTAATCAATATAATTAAACAAAAAAATCAAACCATACATCTTAACTTTTTGTTTGTTTTATTTAAGTTTTTGGTTTGTTAATGTTTTTTGTCTATTTATTAAGTTTTATCGTAAACAATTAAACAAAACAAGTAAATAAAATAAGCCCTAAATAAATAAATAAATAATGAAAAAATAAGACAATAGAAATTTTTTCGATCTTATTTGTTTCTTTTTTATTTTTGATCTTTTTTATTATTTTTTTTATCTTTTTTTTCTTGATATTTTAATATTATCAATCTTTTTGGCTATGTGTTATTTTGGGAATTTTTTTTAAAGTTTTTTTATATATTTTGTGTAAATAACCATCTTTTTTTTGTTTGCTTTGCATTTTTATTTTTTATATTATTTTTTCTCGTATTTTTGTTTGCTTTCAAGTTTTTTGTTGGTTATTTTTATATAATTATTTTTTCATAAAAATGAAATAAGAGTTTTAAAAAAAAATAACTTTCTCTTGTATTTTTTTTTTGCATTTTTAATGTATTTTTTTAGGGGCTATTTTATTCACTTGTTTATTTATTTATTTACCATAAAGATTAAAAACAGACAAAAAAAGTTAACAAATAAAAAAAATAAATAAACAAAAAAATTAATACATATCGTTTGATTTTTTCGTTTAGTTAAATTGATTAAATATAACACAGTTGAAAGAAAAGATAAATAATAAAGATAAAGCAAAAAATAACGAAATAGATAAATACCAAAAAAACAAAGAAAAAAAAAAAGAAAACAAAACAAAGAAAAAAATAAGACAAGAAAAGGCATAAAAGGAATAAATAATAAATAAATATTTCAAAAGGGAACTTAAGAAAAACATAGCAAATGGAAACAAATACAGAAAATTAAAACAGTGAAAAAGATTTTTGAAACGGAAAAAAATAAAAAAGAGGAAAGGATGAAAAAAATTAAAGTAAAAAGAAAAGAAATGATAAAAAGTGAAAATGAATAAAGAGTTAAAAAAGGATCAAAAGAAAAAAATAGCAAAAGAAAAGATGGAAAGAATAACGAATAAGAAAAAATAAAATAAAGAAATAAAATAAAAATAAAAGAAAAGATGAGAAAAAGAAAGGAGAGAAAGAAAGGGGAGTGGGTTGAAAAAGAAAATAATATAAATAATTATGGAAGTTTAAGGAGAAGAGAAAGAAGAAATGAGGGTCAATGTGAAAAAATAAAAATTCCGATTTTACAATTTGGCCCAAAGTGACCTGCTGGTCACCTGGTAATGGGCAAATGGACTTTTAGTGAAAAGATGATAAAAGTTCAGATACTTTTGTGAAAGGTTTTGAAGTTCAAGTACTAAATCGAAATTTTAGTGAAAGTTGAGGTGCTATTCTTGAAATTTACCTGCATAATCAGAGGAGGAAAGAATAACTCAACAATCCTCAATCAACGAACCAAGATATGATTAATAAGTGCAACGAACCCATTGTTGAATAATTGTGAGAAGAAGCACTCCTAGCTAAAGTATGAGTAACCAAATTCGAAGATCTACAAATATAACTAGTAGATGCAAAATCAAAAGAAGAAAGAATAACTGAACAATCAAAATCAAAAGAAGAAAGAATAACTGAACAGTCTTCAGTCTACGAACCAAGATATGATTAATAAGTGCCACGAACCCGTTGTTGAATAGCCGTGATGTAAACAATTCGAAAAAAGCTTAACTTTGTGAACCCCTCTTCCCTTCAGCTAGGACAATGCTTCATGACAAGTCATAACCTCCGCAAGAAGAGGATCTTGAGTACAATCTAAACCCTCGTTCACAACTCCCTAGAGAGAACAACTCTCCCCCAAGAGCACGCAACCAAAACCAACCATCTCAGCATGTGGAAATAGAGTCACATCAACATAACTCAGCTCCTCCCCTGTCGCAATCTACAAAAGATGTATACCAAAATTAGGGAAAGCACATGTCGAACCCCTACGATCCCTTGGGACAACTGCTTCCATTAACCCTTGACACAAAGCCTCAACATATAACATAATCATTCGTGGGTGCATCAACCAGGGACACACGCTTTTTTATTAATACTTATTAGGAATAACAGGGATAATAGGAAATAGTATAGAATATTACTATCATATTTTACTTCCATTATTCTATTTTTACTATAATTCCTTGTTCTACTTAAGATTCTCCATGTATTATCAACATATATTGATGTAACCTTCATTCTTTAATAGTTTGATTATTATAATATTATATCATGATATCGTAGACAAAGTATCTCCCTTCAAAATCTAGCTATTTTCTTTTGACCATGCGCCACCACGGGTCTTCATCATTGATAGTCAACACACCCTCCCTTATCCCTCTCTTTCACTTCAAAAAAATTATAAGCCTGTTACAATTGCCATTACTTATCCATCTCTCTCTCTCTAACAAATATTTGTGTCTGGTTGAAGAATTAAAAAGTTGCATTTGTCTGTGTTTCTTGTAGAGGTTGAGCATGGAAAGTGATTCAGAAGTAGAGAGTGGTCCACCAGATGAAAAAATAAACTCCACCCCTCGCTCTAATAGCCAACACTCCCCTCAAATACAGAACATAATTATTGTTTTATTCTTGATGGTATCAGAGCCAACCCTAGCCTAATCTCTCCTCTCTCCCTGTGCCGACCTTCTCTCTCTCTCTCGGCCCTCTCCTCTCCGACTTCTCCTCTGGCCATCCTTGCAATCGTCTCCCTCGTCTATCACCATGACAACCTCTGAAAAATCAACCTCTTCCTCCACTCCAAATCCTCCTCACCTTGTTTTCACGATGGTCTTTAACGTCAAGCTTCATGTTCCGACTCAATTAAGCTTCTCGGAACCAAACTATTAAAAGTGGAGTTGTCTATTTCTCCTCTTTGTTCGGGGTTTCAATCTTGAAGGCTACCTCACCGGTGCTACCACTTTGTTTGGGGTTTCAATCGTCACCGAGTTAAACAAAATCCATGACGTATTCCACGCATCTACGCTTGACGAAGATCCTACTTGTGAGGAGGAACCGATAGAGGTTCTAACCCAAGAAATCCGACAGTAAATGCCACTTCGGAAACTAATGACTCCATGCGGTTGCATTATCCACGCCTCTTCAGCGACCAATGATCAGGTAAAATTTTGAGGACGAAATTTTTATTAAGGGGTGGATAACTGTAACGTCCTGAAACCCAGCCTATTAGAATTTTTTAATTTTTATTAATGCGGAACATGGTTCGGAAAAATAGAGTCATGAGAAAAATTATTTGATTACGTCATAATATTAGTCTTGATTGTCTGATTCCAGAATTGAAACGATTTTTTATTCGGAGCAATTTGGGGGGAAAGCGCATATCGTTCAGGTCAGTGTTATTTACGGAGAAACTTTGGAAACTCCACTCATTTCCCTTGCTCTTGGTTCAACCCCCCTCTCCCCATGTCTTACCTAGTTTTCTTCACCCCTCTTCATTTCTTTAAAAACATACATCCCTTTTTCCTTTCTCTTCCTCACTTTGCTTACTTCACCAAACAACCATCCATCTACCTCACACAACACTCTCCCTCTTCCCTTCCCTCTTGGTTTGGACGAG